CAACATGTGATACATGTTCAACCGTCAAATACTTCACACCCTCATTCTATGTGTGAAACTTTCCACGTTCCACTAAAAACGCTGACTTGTCTCCATCACTCGGAGCACAGACGAGGGAGGGAGAGGTCCAGAGGCTCTGGGCTCTGCTGGAGTCGGCTGAAATGCACTGAACCTGGAGAACAAAGGCATTACCTAATGCAGGCTGGCACACGGCCTCCCTGTCCAGGGTCCCACATCTGATCTGAGGTCACCAAGGCTATAATTAGCATGTGGTGTCCTCCGAAAGCCCTTATCTCCTTCTTTCAACTGATTTCCTTGGCTGTTATCGGCCTCAAAGGCTCCATGCGGACGGCTCTGCCTCTGTGGGTGCGGCTCCCTCCCGGGAGGGAGGGCTGGCTGCCCGGAGGCCAGTTCTGTGGTGACTGAACCTGGGATGTGGGTGCTTGTGCTCCCGGCCATCCCGTCCCTGGCCGTGACTCCTTTCTATTTTTAATTGAATCTTAAAATGACTGAGCTTTAGATTCCACATATGAGGCCTGGGAGGGGCGGAAACCAGGTGGAGGGGCAATGGAGGGGAAAAAAAGGGGGGGCATTTGTAATCTCTCAACAACAAAGAATAAAAAAAAAATTTAAATTATTGAGCGTTGAATAAATCAGTTTGAAAAGAAATAAAAGGGCATCCCTAGGATGGTATTTACTGTCTAGGAGTCTTTGTAAAGGTCTCACCAGCTGAAACCCAATCGTTTGGAAATGCCCTTTGCAAAGCAAACAGTCTTATTTCGCCCCGTCTGCCTCTCTCCTTAAGTACATCTGCTTTGCCTATATATTCAGAGATGCCACACTTTCCTACCTGACAGTGAAAGACAACTGCTTTCAGTACCTCTCTTCCTTCACCCCTGCACTCACCACCCCCACCACCCCGAGCTGAGGGATAGCTGGGGCCCACGGAGTGCTTCCACAGGGGGCTCCCGGTCCTGCCCTAAACCACACGAGAGCGGGCTGTAGACACGTGAGCCCGAGCCTTCCCACAGACCACGGAGTCCCGCCTTCAGTTAATGACACAAAAACTGAATTGCAAAGAGGCTCCCGGGCTGCTTCTCAGGCTGAACTTGACCCAGGACTCACTTGTTCTGGGCACTCATGGCCGGGGTCTGTCTTTGCTGGGGGCTGGGGGGGGGGGGATATGGACCAAAAGGAAGGGTTTTATAGATGTAGGTGCCCACCCGCCTCAGATCTAGGGAATTAGGAACATCAGAGGGCGGGGCCTGGGCACACGCATTTTTCTAAAGTTCTACGTTCAGGCTGCGCAGCCCAGTTTAAGAACCCTGCTGACTTAAATTTCTCAACTGCATTTTATCCCTAAAATGGAAAGTCAGACGAAAAGCAGCAATTCAAATATAAATTAAATACAACCTAGTAACTGATCGTACATAATAATTTCTATTGACAAGCTTGCCGTAAATTTCTGGCCACTTCATAGCGAGTCTGGAGACAGGCTAGGCATTAATGAGATTTGTTCTTAAGGAAGCTTTCCACAACTCCGTTTTCCACCGGGGTCCGCCCCCACTGGCCAGAGGTCAGGGCGGACGCTCTCCCCGCCTCGGATGCCTGGGAAAAGCCCAGTGGGTCGATTAAAGAAAAACAAGAAAGATTCTACACCCTAGAAATGCCAATGGTTCCGCAAGTAAACGGAAGACACGCCAGTTCATTTGAGTTTCTGAAAAGCACAAAGCAGGTGACCTTTCACACCTGGACCGTCCGGCCTTTTGGGGGGCTCTGGGCAATGGCAAGATGATGACAATCTCTGTGCCGACTGACAGCAGCGTGAACTCGTGGGCCATCACAAGGGGTGTGGGGGGCAGCTGGGACAGAGCTCAGTCCAGCTTCTACCCTGGACCTTGTCCTCTCAGGTTGTCACTTTAACAAGGAAGCAGTGGAGGGGGGACACTTCTCCCCAGTTTGCAGACAAGGTCCTGGAAGCCCTGGCTCCTGCCCACTCGAAGGAGCAGAGACAGGAGCCGCACACGCTGGGATTTAAAGACACGTCCTGGGCACACGCTGTTTGATAAAGGCGCTGAGGCAGAACCTTTCCCACATCCCTGTGCCTCCAGGGCCCTCGCGGCAAACTCAGCACCGGAACCCAGTGTGTCAGAAGGTGATGCTCATCGGAGACTCGCGTCTATGTCCGCAGAAGAAAAAGGCCCAGAGGGACTTACAACTTTTTAGGTATTTTTCTTCTTCTTAAATAATGGGAGACAGGATTTTGGTTAGATGAGTGTAAATAAATTGTGCCTCTGAATGAGGGCTTTGCTGCACCGTCAGGCAGGGCGTGTCTGAAGAGGGGGAACTCTCGGAGCTGAGAGGACTAGAGAGATCATTTAGCCAGATTTTTAATAAACACTAATACCCGTGAGCCCCCTCAAAGCCTACAAAGCAGCTCCTAGGTAAATATGGTCAGTACCATGAGGCATGTTAATAATACCCAACATCAATAAAGACCCTCTGCTTTCAGACAAACACACGAGCACGTGAACTCCTGGGGAGAGGAGAGCGTTACTAACACAGAGCCAGACTGGCCTTGACCTGGGCAAAGGTGTGCGCGTGCTGACCACATCTGCCTGCCCGTCAGTGACATCTCACTAGCAATGTAGTCAGCGGACAGTGACAATGCTTACAGTTTTAAATGTTTTGCTTACACCCCCCCTACAACTTTTGGATGCTACTTGCCTTTCCTCACAATTATAAGTTGACATCTAACGTTTTCATCAGTAATGAAATATTTGCAAAAATGTAATTTCTAATATACTGTAAATAATGACATTTATAAATAAAATTTTAGATCACTCTTTTAAAGATGCCCAAGTCTAATAAATACTATACTAATGTGATACCCACCAGCACACATTTAAAAATACACAAATATGTTAATTAACAGTAACAATTTTATGTCTTGCCTTTTTTCCTCTTTGAAGTCAAATTCTTTCTATTTCTCCCAAAGAAATGTATCTTACCAAAATATATTTGCTTGCTTTGAAATTATAATATGCTCATAAATGAAAATTTAGAAGTTTAAAAAAATGTCCTGTACTGTGAGTATTTAACATTTTCTTCTCCACTGACTGACTGGTCATACAATGATCACTGATGCATAAATGATTAAAATTATCCTATATAATAAAATGCTAATATGCAAATTGACCAAATGGCAGAATGACTAGTCACTATGATGCGCACTGACCACCAGGGGTCAGACACTTAACTCAGGAGCTGCCCCCTGGTGGTCAGTGCCTCCCACAGGGGAGCACCACTCAGTCAGAAGCTGGGATCATGGCTGGCGAGTGCAGCAGCAGTGGCCGCAGTCTCTCCCGCCTCCACTGCAGGCGGGCAAGAAGGAGCCAGGGGTCCTGGACTGCGAGAGCCCTGGGGGGATCGGGCCTAAGCCGGCAGGCAGATATCCCCCAAGGAGTCCCGGACTGTAAGAGGGTGCAGGCCAGGCTGAGGGACCACCTCCTCCCCACAGTGCACGAATGTTGTGCACTGGACCTCTAGTATAAATATAATATACATTTTAATAAACAATTATTAGACATAGGTTTCTGGATGACGTTTAAAAATGCATCTCTTGAGGAGACGATGTGGTTTGGTGGGTGGGAGGTTGGGGTGCTGCGCTCCTCGGTTTTGGAAGGCTCTCTGTCACTTGGGGGATTCTCACTCTGGGGACAAGGCACATGATAGGGTTCAAGACGGTCCCTTCTGCAAAGTGGGCGGAAGACACCTGTGCAAGGAGAGATGATGGACAGCGTGGGGAGCCAGGACTCACGGGCATCCTGGGGCAATGCGGTCTCAGGAAGGAGGACCCATGTAAGTTGAGGGTCTGAGCATCGAGGCCTCTGCAGCTGTCTGTGTCCACAGGCTCCTTGCAAAGACCAAGGATCGAAGGCGCCTCACTGGGTGGCGGGGCTGTGCCCTGCCCACCCCTCCCTTCCATCTACTCCTCCGCCCCACGCCCTGCGGCCTCAGCCTGTCCTGTAAGTGAGAGTGGAACAAGGGCTCTCAGTTCTGAGTGGGCTGCCAAGGTAGCAGCCGGCAGGCCTGTCCTTGTCTCGGTCTCGCTCCCTGGGCCTCACGGAGGCTTCCTGGGGAATTTATAAGTGAGTTCCACCTGCCTCCTACGGCACTTTGTTTTCCCGCCTGATTCGCGGCCTCAAGCTTTATGTCTAAAATACATGTAATGAGAGAATAAATTTCACTCTGAAGATCCCATCTGATGTTTAATTTTTTCCTTAAATAAAAAACATATGAATGTTTGTAAAAAAAAAAAAAAAAGAAGAAGAAGAAGAAGAAGGAGGAGGAGGAGGAGGAGGAGGAGGAGGAGGAGGAGGAGGAAAGAGGGGGAAGTATCTGAATGGCATGGGGGAAGTGAAGGAATTATTCAAACCCTTGCCCGTGAGAAAGAACTGGTAAGTTTCAGCATGATATGTGTGTTCTCTCTCTCTCTCTCTCTCTCTCTCTCTCTCTCTCTCTCTCTCTCTCTCTCATTTCTTTGGTCTCTAGTAGAATGTGGAAATCATGGGAAGAGGCCACTTCTTGGCATTTTTGCTGTTTCTGCCCACACTTTCTTATTCTCCCTCCCTCCGCAAGACACTCAGGATTCTATTTACTCCCTTCGCCCTACTTCACATTCCTGTAGGAGGCAGACAGAAACTGTGAGGAGCGCCCAGGGTGATTCTTGGGAAGCCTGTTGTTTGCTGAATGCCAGCCCTATTCTTTGTTTAACATTGCTCGAGTACTGTCGTTGCTTAGCTTATTTAATTCATTAACCCACGACGGCTCACATTACTGGGATGTGGGTTTTGCGATGCCCTCCTAAACGGGAGTCTTCTGTGCTCATTAAACTGGTCAGGTCGAGGCCGGAGGACATGCTGAGAGCCAGCGCTCTGGACTGTGTCTCCTGGCCTTTGCCAGAGAAACCCGTTTATTTTCAGGACAGCTGCCCTTACCTGCTGCTTCAGCGCCTCCAAAGACTCAAATTCCAATCTGGCCAGTTTCAGCTGGATGTGCTGTGGTTTGTCATGGATGGCGAAGGCAAGTATAAACTTCAAAGCCAGGAGTGCGTGCTGGAAACAAGAAAGAGTACACGTTGATGCACCACATTTGACCGCCTGGGCAAGGAAACAGGTCGGTAGCTGAGCAGCCGGCAGCCCTGCTCATTAATCTCGGGCAGTTTCCAATGACTGGCCTGCAGTGCATCAAAGATCAACCCGGCCCAGGAGATACAGTTAGTCCACCCGCTGTGGCCCCTTCAGCCATTACTGACTGCTTTGCTCTATTCTTTTCAAATCAGTTATTCCCTTAAATGGATACCATAGGCTGCCTTCACTGATTTATAGGAAAAAAGAAAGATTGTTCTGGACCAGTCTTCCGCCCAGTGTTTTTCCCTTTCTGGGTCTTAACAGCCAAGGCACCTTAGCATACGATATTCGGTCACTTCTTTTTTTTTTTTTTTTTATTTAATATATTTTATTGATTTTTTACAGAGAGGAAGGGAGAGAGATAGAGAGCTAGAAACGTCGATGAGAGAGAAACATCGACCAGCTGCCTCCTGCACACCCCCTACTGGGGATGTGCCCGCAACCAACGTACATGCCCTTGACCGGAATCGAACCTGGAACCTTTCAGTCCGCAGACCGACGCTCTACCGCTGAGCCAAACCGGTTTTGGCCGGTCACTTCGTTCTTTACCCAGAAACATCCTCCTTGGGCTGTGCCTCAGGCCAAGCTCCAGGAGATGTGCATGTGTCTGAAGCAGCAGGTGCCCCGAATCCTCTGCATCCTCAATAGAACCTTGTGTAGTTTATTTCATGAAATAATAACTAATAAATATTGACCAAGTGACTGATAGTAGTGATACACTAGATTACACTGCTGACTCCAAATACTGCCAGGCAGGTACACAGAAATGCAGAGAGCATCCTTTATAATGTGCAGAGTGTATGCTATATAATAAAAGCCTAATATGCAATCAACCCAACTACAGAAGGACCGGCGGAACAACTGGTCGCTATGAAGAGCACTGACCACAAGGGGCAGATGCTCAACACAGGAGCTGTCCACTGGTGGTCAGCGTGCTCCCACAGGGGGAGTGTTGCTCAGCCAGGAGCCGGGCTCACAGCTGGCTAGCGTAGCGCTGGTGGCAGGAGCCTCCCATGTCTCTGTGGCAGAGCTAAGGAGCAGCGAGCCAAGAGGTGAGGAGCAGCAAGCAGGTGGGTGGGTGGTAAGGAGTGAGGGGTCCCGGACTGTGAGAGGGCTCAGGCTGGGCTAAGGGACCCTCCCTCACCCCCCAGCCACCTTGTGCATGAATTTCGTGCACGGGGCCTCTAGTCCATTATAACACGGGAAACTTACAGTGTGGCTAATGTGATTTCTCTTCAACCTCAACATCATAAAGAGGTTCTCTACAACAATAGGAAGTTTATAACTCTGCTTCTTGCCCCCTGGGACAGAAATAAGCCACTAGGACTGCTTCCAATGGTCAGCCTGTTAGACGCACAACCCCAGCTCCCACATGGGACTCCAATTCTAACCGCAACTTGTGACCCAGGATCAACACCCGCAGAAATCTGAACGATCAGAAATTAAAGTTGCCCCATGATAGCATGAGTTGTTAAATACTAAGGGCTGTGAAATATTTTTAAAGGTAAGACATAAAAGACATTCAGTGAAGGAGATGAGATAGCCTCTAAGAAATGTGGCATTGAATTACTAACAACAACAACAAAAAGACAGCTGAAAAATGAAATGAGTTTTTTACTGTCACATTTTCAAAAGAAGGATGAAGGATAAATAACATGTGGCTATCTCCTAGGAGACGCATGAAGTGATGAAGGAAGTCAGCATCATACCAAAACGAGCAATAATTCCATCCAAAGATGAGAAAATTGGCAGAACCCCAAGGCAGGCCAGGCGTTGCCGGGTACCAACAAGAGATGCGGAAGACCAGGGCTGGGCAGGCTGCACAGACCAGGGCTGCCACCATCAGAGAAGATACTAGAGGACACTGATTGGGTGAAATCAAGTGGATAATCTAGGCCGGATCGGGCGCAGCGTATGTTCTGATTCTGAACTAAGCGAATTGAATTAACAGGAACTTGAATATCACCTACAAAGAACAAATGAATCATTCAGAAAAAGCTACCCTGTGCCATGACTTCATCCCACTAGACTACTGGGCTATAATGTCACTTAACCGCTGCAGGAAATTAACAAAAGACATCTTCCATAGTCTTGAGAAACGGCGTGTCCTAACGCTGTCAAAGCCCCGTCGTGCCCCGGGCCCTGGCCTCCTTCCTCTCTCCTGACAAATCGGACCCCGCTCTCTCTCCCTCGGGCTCCCGGCGGGAATCAGTGAGAAGAGAGCCCCGCCGTGGTCTTCCCACGGCTGCAAGGCGTTTGTAACATGTGCCAGCTCGTCCCGGCGGGTTCCTTTGGATGGCGGTGCTATGGGCGATCTCTTTACCGTTGGTATTTAGCGGACGTGTGTGACTTGTCATGGGAAAAACACCTACGTGAAAAAGAACACAGGGATCCCCCACTTCACCAGTGAGTGACACCTGTCCGGCTCCTAACCCGCCCACCTGGTCACATCTGTCCAGGTGCCCAGTGTAGACCCAGACCTGACAACTGCTGAGCCAGAGCCCGGCAATCGGTGTTCACTCACTCATCCTGCGAACGCGCCGAGAGTGTGCCTAAAGGGCCACGCTGCCCAGAGGTGGCCCTCCTCCCCCACATCCTTACCTCCCAGATCTCCTGCCGCAACGATGCCCCCTCCCCCCCCCCCCCCCCCGACTTGGCCACACACCCAGAAGTGCCGCCAATCTTACAGTTTGTTTGGTTTAAACACGTCATTTTTTTTTAAAGAGTGAAAACACCGCTGGGAGGATAGAGGAGCATCCCCATTCACAGACACCTGTTAGTTAACTATGTTAGTTAATTTATGTTAGTTAATTTATAAGCCGGTGCTAGCAAACGCTTTCGCTGACAAGCTTGGATGCCTGGGAATGAATGGGGTGGGGAGGACACCATGGCAGCTTGGGGTGAGAAGAGGCAGAAATAAGCCAACACTGTCTCTGTGGCCAGGGAAGGACCATTTAAGATATCCACCAAGTTTCAAAAGCTTAATTTTTAAAGTCTTGTTTATATTTTCCGTACAGCAAATCTGTTTTAAGGCTAAAAGCTATGCTAACTGAACTGAGGGGGGAAAATGATAAAAAAGCATTTCAGCTTGTTTTCATAAATAAAAGAAGACCTTAGATGAAATACGAATCTGTGCAGATTTGTAGGAAAACATACTCAAAATGAATAGCTGGTGGGCTTTTCATAGTCTGTCTAAGAAAAGAGAAGACAATTTCTGGGCCACGACTGTGATTTTCACCAACCATCTTCTTTTAAAGTAAAACACATAATTATATCCTAAACAAAGTAAAGGAGAGAAAAAACATTTGCGGGGCGGGGGGGGGGGGGGGGAGTGGGGTGGAGAGGGATGGGAAGAATTTTATTTTGTTTTTTAAGAACAGATTTTTTTTTTTTAAAAGAAATGATCATTTTAAAAATATATTTTATTGATTTTTTTACAGAGAGGAAGAGAAAGGGATAGAGAGTTAGAAACATCGATGAGAGAGAATCATCGATCAGCTGCCTCTTGCACACCCCCTATTGGGGATGTGCCCACAACCAAGGTACATGCCCTTGACCGGAATCGAACCCGGGACCTTTCAGTCCACAGTCCGATACTCTATCCATTGAGCCAAACCGGTTTCGGCTAAAAATAGATTTTATCTTTATTTCCTTTTTTGTTAATCTTCGCTTGAGGATATTTTCCCATTGATTTTTAGAAAGAGTGGAAAGGAACCCTGACTGGTTTGGCTCAGTGGATAGAGCATGAGCTTGCGGATTCAAGGGTCTCAGGTTCGATTCTGGTCAAGGGCATGTACCTTGGTTGCAGGCACATCCCCAATAGGGGGTGTACAGGAGGCAGCTGATTGATGTTTCTTTCTCATCGATGTTTCTGACTCTGTAAAAACAAAAGAAAAAAGAAAAACAATAGAATTATTTTTTTAAAAAAGAAAGAAAGAATGGAAGGGAGTGGGAGAGACACAGAGAGAGAAACTTCGATGTGAGAGAGACAAATGTGCCTCAACCAGGGCCAGGGATTGAGCCAACAACCGAGGTACATGCCCTTGACCTGTATCGAACCTGGGACCCTTCAGTTCTCGGGCCAACACTTTATCCACTGAGCCAAACCGGCTAGGGCAAATGGGCAGAATTTTAAAACTAATACATACAAAGGAGTTGGCACTGCAAACAATGTGCTTCAAGTAGTGATTATAGGGTGCCTTGGTTAGGAGAGGGAAGAAGAGGAGATGAGCGCTCGGCAGTGGAACGCCTCCCAGCGCCAGCGGTGGGTACCACCCACTCTGCCAGCAGCATGCCCCTCACCTTTGGTCCCTGCAGGGCTGCCAGCCCTCAGATCCTGCACCAGGTGCACGGAGGGTGAACAGGGCCATTCATTTTACAAAAACTAAAAAACTCACAACGTGATCGACAGCAGCAGCTGTGTTTATAGCAGTGTGTCCCCAACCCTCTCTTCGGAAATAGAAAATGCAAATTAGAGTTGAATTCTTGAAATTCTGAAAAGCTAATTTGATTTCTACAGTGGTACCTCTTCCCATTCAGAGCCAGCCACCACTGAATAAAAGAAACTCGCTCAGAAAAGCATCCTCTGATGATTACCAGACGAATTACATGCCAAATGCCAATCAATAAGAAATGGTTAATGGAGTCCAGATTGAAAAAAAAAACCCTCAGAATTTTTCATTTTAAGATAGTAGCATGCACATCTACTTCTTCCACTTCCCCAGGGCCCCCTGAAATGACAGAAGTATATGTTCTTTAAATTAAAAAAAAAAAAAAATGAGACTGGAAAACAAGAGAATTTGCCAGAACTTCTGATGGAGCAGAAAATGCAGCTGAGACAAAGGAATGGACCTCCCAAAGGAGAGGGGCCAATGTCATGGTCATCCCACAAAGGAAGGGTGGGCCAGGGAGTCCGCACCAAGGTG